GATCGGACGAGAACTGGTGTATTCAACGTGGTATGGCCGTAAGCGAAGTTTATGTATTATTAAATACATTTTAAGCATAAAGAAGAAGATTAGAAGCAATATAGTTTATTGTTGAACAGCTTTAGATTGCTTCCTTAACAATTAGAACTTTTGATAGTCTTGTCACACTTACATCATGATTCGAAAATATTTGCTTTTAATCTACTATAAACGAAAACTATGTTATAAGCAGAAAAGTTTTGATTACCTAAGTCCTTAGGTGCTTGTTTTACAGCTCATTTGATATCAGCATGTTTCTCAAAAAGAGCTAAAACTTGCTATTGTGAAAAGATTGCATCAGTTATGAAAAATAGCTTTAACAGCATTTGAAAGAGCACTTGCCGATATCAAAACTGAAAAAATCGTTGTTAAGTAGTTTATTAATATTGACTCTGATATTTTATTTCATTGATCAAAAAAAAAACAAATTAATTATATATCAAAGGAAAATAACGAAAATAATCATTTGAATGCACTAAGGTTCCTTCTGTATGTAATCGTTTTATTTTAGTACAATTAAATCGTGTAGCATCTCTAGTAAAATCTTCTGTCACAGTTTTTAAGTGTTTATATTTGACATGTAATTCAGCTAATGAAGGAAGATTTGTTCTTGTATTAAGTAAAAATTGTGCCAGATAGCTAATATCTGCAGGCATAACATTAAGATAATTGAGATTTTTAAATTCAATAAGTGAATAAGACTGATTATTATTTTGTTGTGCTATTGTATTCATTACAGTAAGATGTTTAAGTGATGGAAAAGCTTGAGATAATCGAGTAAAAAACTCATGTTCAAATGGTAATACATCATGTATAGACAAATAACAAACACGATCAAATATGGCATTTGGAAAATGATTCGTAAGACATTGTAAACGATCAAATGCAAATGGAAGTGTAAAGATATGACAAAGATAACTATTTGTTGAAAAATATCGGATACTACCCATCATTGATCCATACTTGATATTAGAAAGAGTTTGTTGAATATCATCATTCGATAAAGTTGGTAATGAACCATTGTTTAAATTTCGTGTACGAATATCGCATGCAAAATTGTTAAGAAATGGCATATAAATGAGAATTTCATTTTGAAGATGAGTACCATCGATTAAGCCATTATGATTTCTAATAGTAAGACATAAAAGTAATTGTTCAAGATTTGGCATACGATGAAGTAATGGAATAATTCGATTATCATATGTATATGTACATATATCATTACGACATGTTAATGAAAAATATTTCAATTTTAATAGATTATTCTAAAATAAAATAAAACATATTGCTTAGATTTGAGATATAATTATAATCTAATGTTGATTTACTTGATTATGAGTAATCGATGATCGAGTATCAACATCATAAACTCGAACAGTAAATGAATTTAATCGGCTAAGGCGACCATCAAGTAAATAAAGACAATCATCAAAGGTATGTACATAAATACATAATTCTGTTAAAATCGACGAAGAAAAAATATTAGATTGTAAATCACGAAGGAATAAACCATCATTCTTAGTAATTGATGGATCTTTAATGTTTAAATGAGTTAATTTTGGATAAGTTCCAGCACGAAAAACACGATTTATTGATGATGTTTCAAATGTAAGATCTCGAACGATATGATGAATGCGAGGTAATACACAGAACAAAGCTTGATGAAGAATTGTTATATCATCGATTGATGTTAGGTCAATATTATTAGTTAATGTTTGATCACGCAATAAAGTATCAAGTCGATTATTACCAGTACCCAAGAATGAATAAAGAACAGAAGTATTATGAAGGTTTTTAAAAATAGTTAATAACATTTCATCAGGAAGATCAAGAAGATGTATATGAGGTTGATTCATGATGAATATGACGTGATAATCTTTGTTGTTATTGATGAAGTGGAAGACGAAGATGTGTATATACAGGTAGAGGTGTAAGCCGTCCGGCTGAGTAATCACCGTCGTCGGTGAACTAAGAAATGCTAAAGCTGTCGCCGCCGCCGTCGCCTATCATAGATATTGATTTTCTCATTTATATTTTTCTTTTGTTATTCAGCCCAATGTTACTTGTGTACTTTATTACATTGAGATGGACAAGTTTTTATTTTTTCATGATAATATAATACTGTTTTAAGCTTTGAGCCGTCACCCCATCGATAGCATTCGAAATTTTGAAACTCTCAAGCCACTGCCGCTGTACAACCTTCGAATATCAGAGCTGCACCACCGGACTTTTAAAAAAAACATTTCGAACTTAGTGCCATCCCTGACTACCCTACCGACTTACACTTCTACTTATATAAATACTGAAATATGACAAAAATTGGTTTTGTTTTAGTTTTGAATAAAAGAGCTTAATTTAGATAAACACAAGAATATCAAAAGAGAAAATTCTTTATAAAGAAAAAAGTAAAAAGCTTACGACACTCGGTATTCCCAGGCGGTCACCCATCCAAGTACTAACCGAGCCCGACGTTGCTTAACTTCAGTGATCGGACGAGAACTGGTGTATTCAACGTGGTATGGCCGTAAGCGAAGTTTATGTATTGTTAAATACACCTTAAACATAAAGAAGAATATTGTGCCATGTCAAATTTCTATTATTTCATTATGTTCCGTGTTTATCAACTATTCGAAAATTATCTGTTGAATATATTTCACGTTCTAACTCTATATTTTATTTTAAATACAAATATTCAATAAAAATACAAGCAAAAGCAAAACTAAATAATCATTATTACGTATTCCTTCATTTGTACGACATGTTTCAAAATCTTTATTACATTCATCATATGTACACATACATACAGTCTCTTCTAATTCACATTGTGAAAATATAATATATTTTGAATTGTCTGTATATGTCTTACAAAATCGTGTTTTATATTTTATTAAATATGCTGAATAAATTGATGGTATCAATGTTTGTCTAATGATTTTATTGGTTCGATCTACACTAATTGCACAGAGAACACCTTGATTAAATAAATAATTTTTACATATATCATCATCATCGGAACATAATGGTATTAAATTTGAATATGATTGTTCTCTATAATCTTCATAAGGTTGATAACATTTCAGTCGATTTGTTAATTCCATGATTGTATTAGTAAATAATGTTTTTTTCTCATAAGGAAATCGATTTGTTTCTCGCATACACTGCGTATAATTAAAATTACATGTATTTGTTGTACATATACAAGCTCGATATGATCCTCGAACAAATGTATATGGTGAAGCAATACAAAAGTCATCGTAACCACTGAGTGTATTTCGTGGAAAATAATGACATTCACGAACAAGATTTTCATGATACATTTCAACTTGATTGACTTGTAAACAAGTATAAGAAAAACCTGCTAATCCTGAACCAGTCAATGAAAGTGTTGTTTCAATTGGATAATTACGTAAAGTAATAAGACATGCTTCACAATTTTGTACATAGATTGTTGTTGTTGATGCTAAATCATGTTTACATGTAATATTTCGAGTAGAAATACGATTATCTGTAGTAAGAAGAAGTGCATACGACGTTCTAAGATATAAGACTAAAAATAAAAATAACATGATGTTGTTTTGAAGGTCGGTTTTTGTAATGAATGTATGTTAGTTTTTTTTCGAAGAAGTAGACGAGAGAGAGAGCTAAACAATTTGTGAGTCAATATGTGTTTTTTGTTATTGTAAAGAGAAATTTAAATAATTATTCCAAACGTAGTTTCAAAAAAACTTTAAATGTTAATTATCAATTTCTTAGTTAGAATGAATACGTTCAATTCGATTTTTTCTTGTAAAATTTTGAATTCATAATCTTAAATTTTAACAAGAAAATATCCTTGATAATTACATTCAACATAACAAAAAACATGACTCTTTTGTACATAAATTATCGATTCTTTCGATATTATTTGGTTAAAATAACAAATTCAAAGAAATAAAATATAACTGAATAGGCCTTAGAAGAAAATATTTACCAAACTCTGCATTCAAAACGTACGTTTGTCTATTTGATCAATAAATTTCCTTGAAAATTCAATGTAGAAAGAATAAATGATCAGTTCATAAAATTGATGCTACATTTATTTATATTAAATTTTCTTTTAATATTCAATAGAAAAAAAAGCACAACTAATTTATCATTCTACTTTTTTTTAAAAAAAAAGAAGGTTTATTTATTTGTTTTATACAAAAGATGATGTTGTAGACGCAGTAGTATGTTTTATATTCGTATCATGAGATAAAACAAATGAACTACTATTTGTTAATGCACATAATTGATAAAAATCTGGATTATGAGATGGAACAATGACATTATCTGCAGGTGATAATAATGATTGTTCAGTATTTATTGATGATAAGCCAGTTGTTCGATCAAGATCATTTTCTTGTAATAACCATGGATATTCAAATATTTGTTGAAGTAACATTTGACGTTCAACAGCTAATTGTTGATCATCATGATTGAATTGTTTTTCTTCAATTGGATTTTCTAAATGTTGATAATGTTGTCGTTCATTAAGAAATCTTCGTTGTTCAGCACAATCATGTGACCAAACATGTAATTCTGTATCGGAACCATATGTATTTATTAGATGAACTTCAACTGAATGTTCATTAATTGTATTTGAATGATAAACATGAAATTGATTTTCATTTTCATTCATAGAAAATTGTTTTCGTTGTAAATCAGATTCAGAAAAAAATCGACGAAAAAATATTAAACGATTTAAGACACCAGGAAATAGAAGACGTTTTTGAGGTTTGTATGAATTACTTTTATCAAATATAGTTGTTTCTAATGATGATCGTTCATCACTAGTTATATCATCTTGATCAATAAAATGATCTTCAATATATTCTGACATATTAAATGTCGATGATGCTGAACTAGTTGTATCAGCAATATCATCTGTAATATTTGATAATGTTTGTATAGCAAGTATCTTTTCAAATGTTTCAGAACAAGAAAATATTGATGATGATGACGATGTCGATGTTGATGAAGATGATGATGATGATATAGTTGTATCACCTTTTGAACCTGGACTATTAAGGCTATCAAGTGAAATATCTTTTGTTGGTGTTGATGTAAGAGGAATAGGAGCGATACTTGAACAACGAGTACGAACAAATGGACATAAAACTAATGAACCGTCAGATAGATCTTGTGTGAATTGTTCAAGTTTATCATTTTCAACTAGAAAATAAACAATAATGTATAGAAAGTAATTGACTTTCAGATAAAGTTCTCTTTTTAACGTAAAAGCTTAAAAATAAATGCTGTTATTGAGTTGAAGTATCTTAACGTCCTTGTATACATGTACTAATTAGATAGGGATCTCAGACACTAATTATCTACATTTAGTAGTTGTTTAGATTTGACGGCTTGAGAATATAAACATCCCAACAAAAAAAGAAAAAGAAAAATAATAAGTCTATATTAATTTTGATGACTGTTTATCCTCTATACTTTCTACGTGCTAATTTTTTATATTTGTTTATTTTATTAAATCTCTCGTTAATGATGTGTTCTTCAATGTTAATTAGAAGAAAAATGCAGAATGTCCTAGAAAACACATAGGATTTTTTAAATTACACCTGCTGTGAAAAACAACATTATCGAAAACACTTGTGACATTTAATCGATTATCATAACTAATAGATTACACATCTTATTTTGTCCATAGAATATTCTATTCGTTCGCACAAAAAATTCTAACATCTTATTATAAATACACATGAGATTATTTTGTGAAACAATGAAAAAAACGTTTCTAAATATTTTTTTTTAAACTAATACCTTCTTTCACCGGTTTTTCCAAACATTGTCTATTTGATGAATCGTCCAGCCAAGTTTTAACAAGTCCAATATTTTTCTGTCGATCATTAATTTCATTTTTCTTTGTATTTATCTTGATTGCATCATCTTTTACATCAACTGAAGACCATGTAGAATATCCTTCATCTTGTACAATAGGTAATAACTTATTCATTTGTTTCTGTTGTTCTTCAATGCTCGATTCACTCGATGTTGAATTCATTTGTTTAATAGAACCATTAGATTTTATTGTATTGATTGTTGTTCTCGTACATTTACTTAATGGAGATGAAGTAGAAGTATTTGTATTATTCGTCATAGTTGGTGTAGCCGAATAAGATCGTGTTTTATCTGATAGAGATTGAATAATTGAAGGTGGTTGAATTATATTCTTTATTGTTGTATTATTGAATGAATAATTAGATATTTCTGTTGTATCTTTCTTTATTTTCGATGTAATCGGTGTTGGAATATTAGATTTTTTCGTAGAAATTTGTTGTCGATTTAATGAAGATGTTGTTCGAATAGGTAATTTCGATGTTGATAATGACGAATCGTTATTATTATTATTCGATGGTGGTGTTTTTGGATTTGAACGACGACAAGGAAGTCTTGATGGACGGATAATAGATGATGTAGTAACTGTTGTTCGAGTTATTGGACAATGTTCGACATTATGATTATTTACTGTTATTGGGAGAGATGTAGGTAGTTTGGAAATTATAAATGTTTCTGATCGTTGAAGAATTTGTTGCTGTTCTGATTCGTCTATAAAAAAATTAATGTAAATTTATGATTGATTCTTTTAGAAATATTTACTTATTGATGTATCTGAAATTAAATTTTGAATCTTCTTGCCCTTCTATAAAGAAAAATGTTTTTTCCTTGAAAATTTAATTATCCAAAAAAAAACTTACGAAATCAATTGTCCAACTATCTGATGTTGAAATTGAACAATGAGTTGTTGATGATGATGATGACGATGACGATGATGATGAATTTGATGATGATCGAATAACTTCATTATCATTTTTTATTAATTTTTCAAGATTACAAATCATTTCCAAAGATTTATTTAAATTTTGTAGCGATAAATTTTCTCTTGTTTCTTTCATAATTATATCATATTGATGCTTATTTTCAATACTATTTGTTGTTAAAGATGATAATTTTTCAATAACATGATATATTGATGAACATTCTTTACGAATATTCTTAAAAATAAAAAAAGAGAATATTATGAATAAAGAAGGAATCCATTAGTCATTTCTCTCTCTATATATATATATGTTCTTGAACTGTACCTATTCTATAGAGTACATTAACATGAATGAAGATGAATTGATGAAAGAGAAAAAGATCCCAAAGGAACATATAACATTGAATTTGAAAATTCACCGAGAGATGGGTAGTGCTTGATTATTTATTCAAAGAATAATAGTATGACCTGTCTAGTAACAGACGGTAATCTGAGTTGTGTGTTGACTACTTGACAAAGAGTATTATATGAAGATGAGTTGTCTCGTCGTCGTCGTCGTCGGCATCGTGTCTAATAGTTTGTCTTCTTTCAACTTAGAATTAATTTATCATAATAACTTGCACAACGGTCAGTATTAAATTACCTTGTCTTGATTCATTAAAAATATTTCTCAATCGATTAACTATTTTTATGAAAATGCTCAAATAAAGAAGAAGAAGAAGAAGTTACGTCCGGAGATTTCTTTCTTATTACGTCCGTTTTCCCCGACAGAAATAATAACTGCTACGATCCATGATTGCTGACCGCGCACCATTAACTATCATCAATAGAAAAGAAGAAGAAGGAAGAAAGGAGAAATATTTGTTGCAAGACATATGCTGTTACAGTCTGTTGAAGTTGTTAGAAAATAGCAATCAAGTAGATTACGAAATCAAAAGTCTTTTTTAATAATTAATTACAGATTGCTTCATTATATTCTAGCATGATATTGCCTGTCCTTCAATTGAATGAAAGAAGTATGCAAATCATATTCATTTTATTCTAACCTCTTGCATGACAGCTGTTCTAATAACCATAGTTGATAGTTTATCCAAAAATCTTATATATTCTTCTCGTTGACATTGATTTTCAGTAAACAATCGTCCATTTTCTTGTTCAAGTTCTCGAACATGTTCGTCAAAAAAATGTGTTTGTTGAGTGTTGACGACACTTGTTTTACACTATTTATTAATTGATATAAAAAAAAAGAAAAGTATATACTGATATGAAACATAACTAATATATATTTATTTACCAATGCCTCGAGCTGATCAATACGTTTGTGTAGTTCAACATTCTCATTTCTAAGAAGTAACATACATTCATCAAATTCACGAAGCTTTGTCTAAAATAAGAAAAATTATTAAAAAAAAAGAAAAGATTTTTTGTTCTTTACTTCATATACTGATTGATCTTGAAGTTTGTTCTTTAATTTTACTAATATACTCATAATTATTATTCGTTATGTAATAATCATAACTAAAATAAAATGTATAGATATATATCAAAATTGAACAAATTCTATATCAATCGATTTGATCGGATATATTATGAACAATCACATCTTCAATCGTAATAAAAGAATAATTTCGATTGTATCTAGAGAGAGAGAGCGAACATATTGAACTAAGATGGTAAGAAGAAATAACAACGTTTGAAACCTTTTCAGTCTAAACAATACTAATCACTTATTCTCTTCAAAGTTCTAGTGACGAATGACGATAGTTTTCTTTTTTTTTTGCTTCTGCATTATTTAAGCTATTGTGTTATTCATAGCTATGCCGTTTTCTTCTTTTTTGCTATTTCTATCGTCTACCTCCTCATCTTCATCTTACAATTGGGATTGTGCAATCTGAGTAAAAAAACGGAAAGGAGAAAAAGAGCAAAATGTCAACTAAAGAAACATACTAACGGAAAAGACTAGAGGCAATCTATCAGAAAAAAAGAAATGTTACATGCGAGAAAAGTAAAATGACCACATATATATATACTCAACAAAATAAATACGTTCTTTATTTTAATCCTCTCATTTTCTATCCCACTTAGTTGACATATTATCGTAAGATGAACAATTCATAATGATAAAGTTTTTTTTTATATACATTTTCTCATTATGTAATTGATGTTTAGTATATATATATATCCCTATTCTTTGTTTATCTCATAACAACAACAGAGATTATGATAACAGTCACATATGTATGTATGTATAGTTAAGATGCTAGTTTTACTCACCTATTCTTATCTAGTCAATTGTTATGATTACTAAAACTATTCTTATTATTTTCCAAAAAGAAACATTGGATGAATATGACAAAATAATATATATGTATGTTCTATCAATAAAGAATGTTGCTTCTAATCGTGTCCTATCTATCTATCTATCATTTTATGTGTACCATTTATATAGAAGAGAAAAATATCGATGTATCTTTTGACTGACGAATATTACTATTTCTACTTCTGCCTTGTTCTCTCTCTCCCTCTCTTTCCTATCATTTACTATCACTTTGACAGAGCAAGGACAGAAATATAAATCGTGTGTCCAATACTAAATTACCATCGAACAGTGTGTGCGTGTGTGTATGTGTTTTTTCTTTCTATAACAACATTCATATTTTATTTTGATTTCTTTAAATCATCAAAATAAGTATGATATCAACTTATCATCATTTTTAGCCAACAGTAAATTGATAAACATATGTACATGTAGACCATGACGATACTTGCTTTCACGTTATTATGGCGTACTTGTATATACAGTTGAATGTTCTCATTCAACTCCTCTTTATTTTTTTTTGTCTTTCATCAATATGAGTATCAATTACTATTGTGCAAATTTCTTTTCCTTTTTTTTTATTGAGTAATCGAAATCATCATCTGCATAGAATAAAACATAAAAAAAGAATTGAGCAAGATTTATCATATTGTGATAGAAAAAATTATTCACTTACTAATTGATTCAAGGTTAGTCAATGACAACGATGGTAGCAGAAAGAACGAAAGAAAGAAAGAAAGAAAGAAATATTCATCTATCGTTCATTGCACGAGTGCCCCATTGCTTGACCTCGTCGAATGATAGTAACCATTACACAGTGACACATGTCAAGCGAACTCAACAGAACATAACCGTCAACTATGCATTCTGCTAACCATTATACGACGAATTAAACAGCATAGAGAAAGAAATAGCATGCACGGACACATATTCAACAGAAAAGAAAAAGAAATTGACACTTATACCAATGAGCAAATCAGACTGCAGGCCATTGATATTTAATGTTTCTATGAGATAGATAAGCTTCAATAAGAATAATAATAATAGAAATGAAAATGATATTTATTTGCTAAAAGTATCATACTTTTCTTTATATATATTTATTCATAGGATACTGAACAATGAAAAAGTAAAAATGTATATGGTATGTGAAGGTTAACTATATGATTAGAGAAAGAATAAGATTAGTTGAACTAATAAGATCTTGTTCATTAAACTAATCATATTTATACTTCTCTTCGTTAGTGTCATTTCAACATCATTATAGTACTCTTTTGTTATACAGGAAATCTTATTATCTCTAGATTAATACATGTTTTGCTTGTAGTTTATTGACAGTGGGATATTTTTATTGATGTATCGAATAAAAGTCAATTTTCTTCTAATGGTAGGAAAGACAGACATTGTCAATCTATTCTAGACTAAACGAGACATTACAATGTCATTCATAAAACAGATATAGTAATTTCTTTTTTTTTCATATATTAACTATAACAAATCGTTTCTAAATTTACAAACAATATTGAAACTAGATAAAGTTTTTATTATTCTATTAATTATCATATATGTATAATTCATGTTATTGAATGTCTACTTCAAAGTGTTTGGTAAACAAAGAACCATATGTTCACGTTAACAATTAAAACTCAGATTATTAATAAAAAAAAGAAGAAGAGAGAATAGAAATACTTGTTATCATATAATCATCTCGAACTAATAATATACATAAATGTTTTTATTTCTTAGACTATTTATATGTATGATAAATAGTTGCTAAAAATATAGTCATAACACAATCAATTGTACTATTGCTTGAAAAATATTTAATAACAAAAGTGATGATTCGTTATATAATATGATATTTTAGGAAATTTTCTTCTCTAATGTAGTAATACAGTTGATTTATGTTTTTTTAATATAGACCAAATGTTATAATTAATGACTTATAAATGGTAAAATTACACAAGAAACATTACAGTTAATAATCGATCAATTCATTTTCGAAATCTTGACTGAATATTCTTTTGAGTAACAGAGATGATAATTGAAATATCAGATGATGTTATTATGAATTATTATTGATTCTCCATATGTAGAATAATCGAGATCGATATTAAGATTTATCAAATGCAGTAAGGAGGCTAAACACATTTTAACTAAAAACAAACTTCGTTGTGATATTCACTAGGTACTGATGTTGTTTTTACGTTCTAGTAGTGGTACGACAAAATTACATGACCCAGCACTGACATATTGGATACTGCTGTTTTGTGTCAAATGTAGTCTTCTGAAATCTTGTTTAAATAACATTTGCCCATATCATTAGTACCAATCATTGTCAAACTAATATCACAACCAATTATGGTATTTTGAATATCACATACAGTTTTATTTAATAAAAACAATCCGTGGTCTGATAGTTAAATTAATTTGAACAACTTATATTTTAACATAATATTATAGTTCGGATTGCTTATTCTTTTTTCTTTTTAAAACAATGAAATTATGAAACCAAATACAATTATAGCAATGATGATGCTAATGATCAACTTTATAAAATAATCCTTTGAGAATGATAACACATTTAAATCTGAAATACTCCCAAACGGAGAATATATTGCATAAATAGCAATGAAGGATGCTCTTTTTTTCATATCTCAATACTGCTCTTTGTATGATAAGATCATACCAATTGAATAAAATATTGATCATCTATTCGTGTTCAGACATTGATTAATATTAAAAAGCGATAAACGCGTACCGGCATAATACGTCTGCTATTGAAACAAAACTCATTTTTGTCTGTCTTAATTATGTGATGACGAGTTCTATGTCAATAGTGTTTTATTGAAATACAATATGATTAAAAATAAAAATAAAACTAATTTAAATATATTTATCAATGCTTATAACTAATAGAATGTGATAAATTCTCGCAATATTAATTAATTATTTTAAACCTGTTCATTATTTGTTGGAATTTCGAAATTTTAGTCACAAAGATGACTTTTCTCAGTCCTTTTCGAATGAGTATAATAGATAAAATCTACTCACACAAAAATTAAATGGATGATTAGTATAATTGCATCGCTTCTAGTTAAATGAATTCTATGATATGAAAAACATTATTATAATACACTGAGCAATACATTTACGATTTTCAAATTTGTAAGCAGTAAGTTTCGAACATTTTAATACAGGACATGTTATTTAGATATAAAAAAGTATCCACAATATTGAGAATGTTTTCACTATTATCATTCCTATTTTTAAAGGTTATAAGTACAATTAAATGAGAGTTTGGTAGACATTGTCAAGGTGAGAAAAGCCAGACATTTAACGGAAGATGAAAGTAAAGAAACCGGTAAAAGCTAATTAATAATGGAATATAAACGTAAGAGAACATTAAACTTCTAGTGTAATTTATTAAAAATACATCCAATTATTAGATAAATATTAGAGTAAATTATAAAATGATATCTCAATTGTAATCTGACCTTTTTTTCTTAAAATATACTGTACTTCTTAACTTCTGTGGTTTATAGCCTCTAGTATGTTTACATATTTAACAATGAGCAACGGGGAAAAATACAAACTGATTTAAAATTTTATTCGACAACGTGTTAATTATTGAAAGATCGATATAAGTAAATCACTAGTTGACTGAAACTAACCATCGGATATTTTTGTTTTCTAGTTAACAATATATGGATATATCTGACATGAGATAGTTTGTTTGTTATCTATTGAAAATATTTTAATAGACTATTTCGATTACATAATATCGTAATTATTCCTATTATATCTTTTATCCATTGATATAATATTGATTATTATGAATTATATAATCAAGCAACTAAACATTAAAGAATTCTCGTCTCGTTCATTTTATCCCATGTAAATATATGATTAAATTGTTAATAATATTTCTTAATTTAAATCAGTATAGAAATTCAATATGATATTTATCCAACCTAGCGTCATCTGTATTATATTACTTCAAAAACACATTGTTTTTGAAATTTCATCCAATGATTATATGACTTATAAGTAATATCAACATAAGTATATTTTCATTATTAACCATGACTTCATATTCACTTCGTATAAAGTATTTTTTTGCTACAGCTCTTGCTAGTTTCTTAACAACGAAATATGTGTCATCACATGAACAAAACTTCGTACCAAAATATGAATCTGAAACTGGTTTAAAATTTCCAGAATCCGTTATTGATCTTGCATGTTTAGCAAATACATTTCCATCACGATATAAAAATAATTATCATGAAACGAATGTTTGTCTATCTCAAGTATTGAACAATTATACTGAAATTAAACAAATTCATGGTTTAGTATATGATGACATCGATCAATCATTTATTTCAAATACATATCCATCTTTAGGAATAAAAGGATTTCATTTGAAAGTATTTGAAAAAGAGGTAGCTGTTTTTTTAGACGAAAAAACTATTTTAATTCATTTTTCTTTATTTAGAAAATTGACAAAAATCAAAATCATAATGTATTTATTATTATACGTCATCAAGAACATGATTCAGTTTTAACAGATGAAATGAATGAAATGATGAGTTTATTTGGACCAGCTGCTACTGTTGATCGTCTGCAAGGTAATAAAGAAGTTTTTGGTGCATCAACCATTTCATCTATGCTTCGTTTTGTACGACAACAATTTGGTCTTGATTATTTACCACAAGCAATTTCTATGTTTAATCAAATTCAATTACATTATAAAGATAAACATCATATTAAATATATATTTAGTGGTTTTAGTTCAGGAGGTTTATATGCTATTGTATTAGCTATATATTTTAATTGGCCAGCAATTACATTTTCTGCAACAGGAGTTGAAGATATTATTAATATTTATTATTCAGATTTATTTACAGATAAAATAAAACAATTACAAATACCACCGATATTTAATTTTGCTCATGAATTAGATTCGGTTCCTCAATTAGATTGTCAACTGGGAACATTATGTTTGTATGAATCGGAAAAAATTGATCAACAATCAAAATTAACTGCTGAAGAAATTGAAGCAATACATATAAGTACTATATTTGGTCAAACTGAACCAGAAATAATCCAATGGCTTCGTCAACCAAAAAAATGGACATGTATAACATCGGATAGTTATAATTTAAAATATGGTAGTTGTAAACGAGAACGATTGAGATGGAAAGATCGAATGAAACTTAATTCTCTTGATGAAACATCGAATAAACAAGATTTATGATAATTCGAATAAAATGTCATATTTTATTAGATGTTTAATAATTTTTCATTATTGTTACTAATAGATAATTTCAATCGATCTCATTAATATTATGTTATTTTATAATAAATATAAGAAAAAAAATTTGAATCTATTCTTAGGATTTGTTGATTATTACTTCTGATTGGTTTACCTTTAATGAAGTGCCAAAACGTTATATAATTGCACCTTGAAGAATTTCTTTTTGTATACACTTACATATGGCCTTCATAAAATATATCCTTGTCATCTATCTATTTTTCTCGTCTGAAACTATACACTAGTGAAGTTCTATATCTATATATTTTTTCTCTCGAAAATGACCTAGTTATGGTTCAAAAATAGCCGTCATTTATTTCTATCTATTCTCTTAGACGAAGACGATCATAATTTATATACATCTGTAAGCTGTACAGATGAGTATAAGATCGTTCGACCTTGTCGAAGAAGAATATCATTACGTAGCGCAATGCATTCTATGTATACATCTGAGAAAATCGCATAGTTAATATTGCTTTCACTAACGCAGACGGGAAAGGACGGAAAAGAGAGGTTGTATTTTCTCTATCTAATATTGGATATCAGAAGGAGAGGGAGAGAGAGAAAAAAAGCAAGGAAGGCTATAGCCTGCAGTTGTAGATATTGCTCATGTCTTTTCTTCTTTTTCTCGTTTGATGTTTAGTTGATGATTCTTCTTATAACAAGTAAACAAACACGTACAATACAATGTTCCTTATTTTGTATGATTGATTATTAGTCAATTGTGTATCGTTTAAATTTATTAAAATATAATAATAATAATGGTATTACGTGTATATTTTATTTCAACAACTGGTCGTCGTGATATACGTTACGGGCAAATACATGTCTTTTCTGTACTTAGCTCATGGAAATATGATTATGAAGCAATTGATATTGCTGCACCAGAAAATGAACATGATAGAAATTTTGTTATTGATACGGGAAAAAAATCTGAAGATGGTAAAGTTATTTTACCACAAATATTTAAAGAAGAAAAATGTTGCGGAGATTATATAGATTTTTTAAACGCAATTGAACATGAAAAATTACAATTATTTCTTAAACAAATTACAATAGAAGATTTAGATTTAATTATATCAAATAAAATGGATAATACTAAAGGTATATTAAAAATTATAATCTCTTTATGTATATCCCTGACTTAAGAGAATGTTTGTCAGTAATTTAATTAAAAAATCAACGCTCTATAGAGATTTAATCGGCCTTCATAAAACGTATAGTTTCTTGCGTGATCAAAGGACAACATATAGATTATATCTCTTTTACTGAGTTATATATTATAATCAATCAATGATTGAATATTTTTATCGATTAACATATGTTTGTTTTTAGAGATAAAAACTGAAAAAATCTTAGATGAAGATAATCTGGAAAAAACTACAGATATAAACAATGATGAAACCAAAGAATAAACTGAATATTGACATAATAGGGCTGGCTTTTTCGGTATCATTTCTTTTTTTTAATCATATTCTATGTCATTTAATAAAACTATATACATGCGTTTTATCTAATTGTAAATATTTTCCTTAAAATAAATAAATAAATACATTTTAGCTAATTATTATTATTTATTAATTTAACTATATGATTAATTGAATATTTAGTTAATATACTATCATATGTAATTGGATGTATAATATGTTTTCCTTGTCGAAGTAAAAATAATATAAATGTTGTATTATAATCACCAAGACTTAAATGAAGAAAATCAATTTTTTGATTAAATACAGCAATAGATAATTGTTCAATATTAGCAATTGTACCCATAATAAATTCATGAAAACGAAAATTTGTATCTATTTCATAATGTAGCCGATTTTTATGTATTAATTGCATATATTTATAATGATGAAAAAGTAAACGTCGAGAATAACGAACAAGTGGATTAAATGTACCAATCCAATATGATTTTGGAAATATATCGGATTGATTCTGTGGCCATTGTTTCCAGCGTGTTGAATTTGTTTCAACAATACCTTCACATAAAATATCAGTTGTATCAGATGTATAAATATCGAACAGATATGTTATATTATTTATATGATACCATTGAACACCATAATTCATTAACCATACAGTTGTCAAAGATTTACGATGATATAACCAAACAATTGCACGGTCTAATGAAGTATATCTGATTGTTGGATATTTTGTCATATAACTTACACCATATTTTTCAAGTTTTTCATTTGTAACAAATAGAAAACGATGTGTATAAGAACGTGTACTTCGTTTTATACATGCTGGAAAATTATCTCCTCGAAATGATGAACTAATGTTAAAAACTTCATTGAACATAACATATACGTCAACACCAGTACATAGTAATGCACGAAAATTTTTCCATAGAAATGGAACAAGTTTAGGAGCAATAATAATAGCTAAATGCTGACGATTTTTAATATTAAATTGTATTTCAGATGGACAATTGAATAACATATCATCATCATCATATAAATCGAAATCATTACTACTATCAATAATAGTTTTTTCTACTTCTAATTTTTCTATATGATCATAATGATAAACCAGAAAGATCAGTGAACATAAGAAACAAATGAAATATAGATAATAAGAATAACGACGAGGAATTAATTGAAGTAAATTTCGTAGTTTAACCATATTATACTTTCACTGATCACCTACATACACGTGTTTGTATATTCTATTTCTTCATGTAAACATTTACACGTTAGCTTACTCTCTAATAGTCATTACAACCTTGTCATCACGGCAATGATTTTTTTATACGTTCTGCATTATAATTCAATATGATTTTGATTAGAAAAACAAGTTTTTATGCAAAAGAAATAATTGCTTACGAATCTACTCGATGGAACATAGAGAATACGTACAGGAAAATATATAAATATCTTGACTTTACTTCTATCAAATAATTTAATTCAAATTTATTATCCTAAAAATAACTATTAAATAAAAATTTCATATTATTTCAATTGAACTAAAATATATTGAATTTTCTCTTCAATTTCTATCATATCTGGATGTATTGGCGATAGAATATCTTGATAAATTGTAGCTGCTTTTTTCAAACATAACAATGATTGTTCTAGTTCATTTTTATCTTCATAGACAATACCCATATTTTTCAATGTTTTAGCAATATCTATGTATGATGATGAAAAAGAATATTTACAAATTTCTAATGCATATTGATAATGTTCTAATGCAAGATTAAAATAACCAAGATGTCTTTGAATAATACCAATATAATTATGTAATATTGCTATATCCGATTGATGGATTAATGGATGTTTTTCAAGTATTGTTAACGCCTTTTCATGATATTCAAGTGCTTTATGATATTTTTTTTCATTTTTATAAGCAATAGCTATATTATTTAAACATACAACTAATTCTGGATGATCTTCATTAAATATTTTTATCAATAGAATCAATGTTCTATTATAATATTCAATAGCTCGTTTAGGATCATCTATTTTTATATAGAGATCTCCAATAATATTATAATTTTCGATTAAATTTTGATTTTCTATTGTACTTATTTGAATTGCTTTTTTAAACCATTGAATACTTAATTCATAATCACCTTTATTTTTTGTAAGATTGCCTAATATATTATAACACTGAATAATATTTTCAGATTGATCAGAAAATTCATTTAATAAACGAAGATAATATTTTTCTGCATCATCTAAATGAGTTTGTTTAAGAAGTAATTGACCAAATGAGAATAGATTTGTTTTTTGATGATAATCATATTCATTTGTTAGAATATGAAAAATTGATTTTAACTGAGAATTATTTTGTGAACATAATTTTAACCGTATTATCCATATACCATCATCATTAAGATAAATATTGTCAAGTTGAAATATCGTTCCTAATAGAAAAATAATTTCATCATTTTCTTGAAAATAACTATGAAATTTAATATTTCTAGAAAATTTTATATCATTCAATCGAGGATCAGCATCGATTTCAAATAGAACACGTTCAAAATCATTTGATTCATAAAGATAAAATAATTCTAAACCATAATCAAGACGTGTAGAAAGAAATGCATTGATTGAAATAAATTGTCCAATTGAATTTTGAAATAATTGAAGTTCATCATAAGACATTAAATGACTACGATAAACACGAATTGGATGTAAACATTTATATTGTTCTATCTGATAATAGATATCTTGAATGAAAAATCTTAACATAAATAATAAATCAATATTGTGTATTCGAAGTGCTTTATTTAATATTCGATAAATAAATGATTTTCTTGTATACCATAATAAAGCTTGATTTACAGAATAATTTTGTTCAAATTCATCTATAATATTTAATTCATTTTCATTATCTTTATATTTATTTTTACATAATGAAATAAATTCATTTTTATTATTTGAATTCATATGAATAAGACAATCAAATAATAATTGTGAAAAAATAAAATGAGAATTAAATTCATGTGGATTATAAATAATTAATGGAAATGTGTCATCAATTTTATGATCAGATTGAATTCGTGTTACAACTATATCTAATTTGTCGCTCAGACTTTTTATCTAGTACATATACATATTTAATGAAGATTAAAATATTGAAATAAAGATTGATTTACTTTAGAAAATTGTTCAAACCATTGTTGATTTATATTTTTATCTAAATAATGTATATAAATTGAATGCACTTGTCGAAGTTGTTCAATTCGAGGAACTAATTGTCGAGCAAATTGATCATTAACTATTAATATAAGTCGATCTTCTGAACTAACAGATCGAATATATTCTTCACATTGTATATTATCTTCAAAAATTTTCAGATAATTTATCGATATTCGAAGTCGTTGTTGAATTTTATAAACATCTTCAGAATTATAACATGGCGGAATAAGCCAAATAATTGAATATATTTCAAGATTAGAATCATCGTCAACATGTTTTTTATGAGATGCCCCCATGAATATCAAAGTGACAAGAAGAATAAACTGATAAAGTTACTTATCGAATTCTTATCTCGAATGTTATGAGATAAAAATAAATATAAAACAAGTGAGTTTAGTGCCTCTGTTAACAACTAAACTTAGAAAAGGAAAGAACTTTTGTACTTTCGATTGGTTCACCCGGAATTTTGATATCGCCTTCCCAACATTTCGATTTGCACATTCGAAAAATGAAACATTGTTTTCATTGAATTATATGGATTACTCGTATGCTTTTGTATAAACATAGTCGTAATGTTTTGAACTCTATGGAAATTGAAAAGATTTTCAGGTGGTAGCCAGATGCTATATGGTCAAAAGCCTCATGTCAATCCTTACGGTATTGAATCTAAGTTACTATCAAAGATTCGGTCCAGAAGTGAAAGTCGTCTTTCGAACGACATTAATTCGTGGTAGTGTCAGAAACAAGAAGATATTCCAACTTCTAAACACAAGAGATATAGTAACGTTACTATCTACTTTTAAGTGAGTAGAGTCAAGTGAGCGATAATAAGTATAGGGTGAATTTTGATACTCATGATGTTGATGAAAGACTCACGATAGTCTAGATAGCCAATATCGTTTACAAATGAACAGAAATAATAACCAAGAAGATCAATTTTGTACCTATGGTTTCGAAGTAAATAATACCTTAGGAATGAGGTAAAATGACTTTTTGATCATCCTATGTATCTTTATATTATGCAGTAAAAATTAATTTTCATACTTTTTATTATTTTACCTTTATACCCTTTTTTTTATCATTTTATTTCTTGATAAATGTATATATATATATAAGCAACAGAAAAAGAAAATTGACTGTTAACAAATAAAATAACAGTTTTTTACTTTTCATAACAAAAAAAAACGTTTATGTTTGAGAAAGTACACACATACGCACAATAAAATACTATAATATCTTGCCGTTTTTTTTCATTTAAATCATACAGAATAAGAATAAGTATCTGTTCACATAAAACCCAATAAAAAGGAAACAAATGAAATATAAATAACAATATTTATGTTCAACAAGAAAAATAAAAATCACGATATGAGTATTAAAACGATTTTTAAAATAAAAAATTATCATACGTCTTCTTTTCCTATTGATGTTTCTGTTTTCTTTTTTGTTGATTTTTTTGTTTTTTTTGTTTTTACTTTTTTTTCATCTAGAAAAATAAAAATAATAATAATTAGTTATTGTTATTTTTTTTATGTGAAAACAAAAAGAAGACTTACTCTCAGGTACAGGTGATAAAATTCCTCCATTCGAGTGTGTTTCATAACTTGTTGAATTAGGTGTTACATTTGATGAATCAGTAATCTCAGAATTATTTGTATCATTACTATTAATCATTAAATGTGAAAGTGGTGATATCATTCCATGTGGACTAGTAGTTGGCATTGGAAATCTTGGATGCATTATGAATGCATTAGGTGGTGGACCAGACATAAAAGATGGTGGAAAAAATGGAGGTCGAGGGAAACCCATAAAAGGTGGTGGTGGTCCTAAATGAAAATATGCTTTATGAGCGAATAATTTATTTAGAAAAATAATTTACTAGACATAAACATGTCAACAGGACTCAAAGTACCGGAGTCATTACGTTGATGATCAATAGGTCTAAAACTATAAGAAAATTTCACTTAATATTTTGTACAAATAATAATTGTTATTACTTGTCTCCTTGTTGATAAGAATTTGGTGAATTACCATTTGTTTCTAATTCATCAAAAATAAATAAAAATAATTCAATACTTAATTAATTGATTATGTTTCTCTTACCATTATTTCCATAATGTTGAGGAACTGGTTTAATCATAGACTTTTCCTGAGAAGAACGTTCACTGTTTGCATATTTTGTAATTCTATAAATTAAGAAAGAAATATTTACCGAAAAATAATTTTTAAAAATAAAACATACTGTTTTCTTAAACCTTCACATTCTTGCTTCGAAAGTTCAAGTTCCCGTGATAAACGTTTAAGTTCTACCCATCTTTCATGTGTTTCATGTTGTAGTTTACTACATTCATCATTAAATTTAATTTGTTCAGTTGATAGAACTTTTTGTACATCATCTAATTGTTGTCTAAAAAAAATGAATTATGTTTTTTTCTTCTAAGTTGTAATTCAATTAGATATTTTACTGTTTAAGTTCTAATTGTTGTTGTAAAATACGAACACGTTCAGTATCTGTTCTTGCTTTACGTAATTCAGCATCTGTTTGTCCTAATTGACGTATATGTAAATGAGCATCACGTTCACGTAATTCTAAGACAACTTTAAGTTTAGTTTCTATTTCTCTACAACGATCTCTTTCTTGTTTTAATAATACATCAAATTCTTTTATTTGAGCAGTTTTTTCATCAACTTCTTTATGTAAATCACGAATATGTTGATTAGATTTTTCACAATCATTATCAATTGTTGATAAAAGTTGTTGATTATTATTTGAAGAATTTTCTTTAATTATAGAAAGTAATTCTTCAAATTCTATAAATAAAAAAATAATTTGAAAAAGAAAAAAAAATATATATATTTAAATTATACCTTGTGGTTCTTCATTAGTAATTTTTTCTTGAATATGTTTTATTGTTTGTTCACGTTGTTCAAGTAAAACTTTTAATTGTTTCATTCGAATTGTTAATTGATTATTTTCAATATCTAATTGATTAGCATGATCTTGTATTTCATGTAACTGATCTTTTTGAGCAAATTTTTCTTGTTTTAATTGAGTTATTTCAGATCTAAGTTCTTGAATTACTTCTTGTGTTTTTTCAAAACGTTCTAATGAAAGATCAGTAGATTGTAATCGACCTACAGTTACTCGTTCTTTTTCTAATTCTTGTTTTAATTGAGCGATCTAAAGTTTTATAAAATGAAAATCATCAACACTGACAAATATTTCTCTTCATACGTTTTAATCACGCATTCAAGATAAGCGTAAAAATAAAGGTGTAGTACTTTAACTGCTTAATACCAACTGTAAAACTAGCCTAAATATGTGACGATTGATGGCGGTGTGGGTTCCACGAGAGCCAGATCAAAGAGCATATCGGGTGTGGGTTAGATGAAACAGTATACCGATACTCATACCCGCCGACACCCTCACATAATATTAGAAAGAAAAATGGGTACTTCGAGTTGGGGGTTCCTTTTATGTCATAGCATTACGAAACTAAAGAGTCTTTGCAGGAATTCAAGTCTTGAGGGTGGGTGGGTGGGTGTAGGTGAGGGTATTCTATTCATTCCACACTCAAACTCACACCCACGCCTACACGCACAGCCACCATCCATATTCAAATCATCATACGCACACAAACATAATACATTAGTTCAAAGAATATTTTTTTGTAGATGAAAGAATTTTTTAGCGGACATGTTTTTAAAAATCAAAAAACCTGGGGACCTTATGTCTGAAGACCAAAAGCCAAGGATATTTTAAAAAGGACATTCTCGACTGTTGCCAATAAATCTTACATCATTATTTAAAGATGCTACTATTTCCACTTGTTTTTGCATATCATATTCATGTTTTTGTATAAGACTTTGTTTATAATCAATATTTTGTTGTAAAGTATCACGTTCAATTCGTACAAGTTTTAAATCTTCATGAAATCGACTACATTCTTCACGTAATGCAAAAATATCTTCATCTGTATCACGTACAGGTATATTTTTTAATTCATCGATTTCATCTGATAATCTAAATAAAAAAATAAATGAATGATAAACTATTTTTTCTTTTTGTTTTTCATACTTTTGGTTTTGTCGTTCAAATGTTGCACGTTCAAGATCAATTTGATTATTATATTGTTGAAGTTGTTGACAACGTGCACGAATTTCTTTTTCACTTTTACTTTGTTTTAAACGTTTTGTACCCATTGAAAGAAAGAAAAAACTAATTAAAACAAACATTGTACCAACTGAACCTAACCACACTGTATTCATTAAAACTTCACGATCATCAATAGGTTCAAAGAAAATTGTTTGAACAAATTCCGGTAACTAAAAACAAAACAAAAAAATAGTATTATTGAATAATAAACAAACGATACATACAATATTAATAAAACGAAAAATTTCATTTTCTAATAATTCAATACTTGGATCGAATTTTTTAGGTAATTGCCAACATATTTGTCGACTCTTATTTGTTAATGGTTTTAATTCAGTTTCATTAAGATACTGATATGTTTGAGAATTATTAATTAATTCTTTCTCATCATTTTCATGTATACGTGGTAAATGTGTAGTTGTATCATTCATTAAAATAGGAGTAGCAGTTGTAATATTCTCAATTTCTTTATCTAATATTAAATTTGAATCTTCTTTTGTTGATAATACATTTAATGTATCTTGTTGATTTAAAATACGTGCGGGAGGATGAACACGTACTTGACGAGGTAAATCGATATCATTATTAGCTTTCAAAATTTGTTCATTTGTTTGTTTTATATTATTATTTTCGATATTAGGATTTGTTTCGGATTTTTGAGATATTTCGACATGTTGTTGTTCTTCTGCTAATTTTGATGGCTGAGGATGTTCATCGATAGAATGACTAGCATCTAATAGAAGAAGAAGAAGAAGAAAAATTAATTATTTTCAATGTTTAGTTTTACCTTTCTTTGTAAGATCATCAGATTGAATCTGAACTTGTCGACGATGTCCATGTATATGTGATAGAGTTGAACGTAAACCTGGTGATGGTGTAGTTACTGAAATGTGAGATTCATTTGGTACTGTTGTAGTATCATGTACCGAATTTAACGGAACTTGCGAAAATTGATCTGATTTTACATCAGGTAAATTACTATTTTGTATTATATTAGAAACCGGTTGCTGTGTAGTTGAAGAAACCGGTATGTGATTAGATATTGGTTGCACTTGTTCTTGTGTAGTTGAAGAAACTGGAATATGAGTAGATATTGGTTGTACTTGTTCATTTGGTGGTGTAGTTGAAGACACTGGAATGTGATCATATACTGGTTGTGCCTGTTCATTTCGTGGTATAGCTGAAGAAACTGGAATGTGATCAGATGCCCGTTGTACTTGTTCATTTGGTGGTGT